AGCAAAGAAACACTTAAAGGCTGCTATGAGATCCAGTTCAGTGTAGTGATTAAAGGTACTGGATTAGAAGCTGGAAGATCATGAGTTCTAATCCTGACTTAGGCATAAAAGCCAGCTGGGTGACTCTCTCTCAACCATAAGAAAAAAGTACAGACAAGCAACTTCCGAAAAATGTTGCCAAGAAAGCCACATGGACTTGCTCCTTTAGTCACTAAAAGTTAGGATTGATCAGAAGGATCCTAACAAGAACATGAGGATACATTCTGGGGTAATTAGAAAAGAAGCACCAAATGCAAGTCGCTGGTATTTTGATCTGCCTCAGATTCTGAAGTGCCTTTCTTCCCTCGGTCCCCTATGCTCAGAAAGAAGAAACTGTGAAAGAAGAGAGGTAGTATGTGAGAAGACCTTGACAGAAGGAAGAGCCACAGACTAGACAACAGTCAGACAAGTGGCAGCTGAGTCTGCTGAAGGAATGGGGACATGGTAAACATCTTAGAAGGTACCCTCCCAAGTTCCCTGGAAAGTAAAGGCAAAGGGAGAGAGATGTGCTTTCAGACTTGCAAGATTCTGTTACTGAAACCTTACAATAAAGTTAGGGCTAATACTTCTGGGTGTGCTTCTTGTCTGGATTCCTTACAAGGCTGACAGGCGGAGATAAAGAATTGTTTGGGTTAGGTGGCTGCCAAATGCCTTGCAAGAGCAGTAACATGTAGGCTGCCCAATGGGGTCTAACCAGGTAAGAAGTTCAAGAAAGAGGTTCCCAAGGTATGCTTTCATCAGGAACAGCATACCTCTTAATGAGAAAATTGCCTTCTCAAGTTTTCCTGCCTTTCTGCAATTCTGAAATACCTGCTCCAAGCTCTGTAACTGAAAGCAATAAGAGAGACATTCAAGAAGGCTATTACCTATGCTCACCTCATTTCACCTCTCTCTCCCATCCGGTGTTCTCTTGCTATTTTCAATCTCTGAAAGAAACTGTGAATGTCAACTGTACATTGTTTCCCAGAATACTGCCATGCCATGTGCCCTGTCTCTCTCCATATATATATACAAAGGCTCTCCAAAAAGGCAACTGAATGCCCTCTAGAGTCTCTCCATTTCTTGCCCTTCCTCTCTCCCCATCTCTTTCCCTTCCTTCAATCCAATATGAACAGAAATGCCAGTGTACTGATGGAAATTCTCTATGTGTGAAAAAGTCACATTCAGTCATGCTGGTGAGAAATTCTGACCTTATTCAAACATTGACTCTACTTAGCTCTCCCCAGCTGGAGGACACTGAAGGAATTTTAGTGGTGAATATTTGGAGAAAACATAATTATAAAGGAATGAAAGAGAATAGTATTCTACCGAGCTCACTGCTTATCCACAAAAGGGCAGGATACCATTGCACCCATCGGTTCTACTGGAATTCAGGTCTATTGAATGCTCTCATGCTTGTATCCTACTTCATAACATTTAGCAACGGGAACTGGAAAATAGCAAGCACATACTGTCCGCTTCTCAATAAACCCAGAAATGGTAAGTCGTAAAGGTTAGAATGTATTTCCCTCACCAGCTATTCGCTAAAAACATGTAAAGGTTTAATATTACCCTGAAACTGCTGGAAGAGGTCATCTGTCTGTTCAGAGAGAGGTATCATTAATATGCCAGTGATATTCAGTTACATATCTCTAGCCCAGGCCTACTGGGAGATGCAACAGAAGTCATGACCAATCTGGAAGCTGTCAGGCTTGAATGGGGGAAAACAGGCTGAGACTCAACCCAAACGAGATGGAGTGGCTGTTGATTCACAGGCTGGCTGATTCCAGGAGTGCACCATCTTTGTTTCTTAATGGGGTTGCACTTTTCCAAAAAGAAATGGATCACAATTTGGAGGTCCTCCCGGAATCACACCTCTTCTCCTGCTTGAAAAGCAGCTAGAGACTGAGAGCTTTTGCACAGTTGAGGTTAGTGTGCCAGTTGTGGCCTTATCTGGAACAGGATGCACTGAAGATGTCACTCTTGCCCTTGTCATCTCTAGCTTAGATTACTGTAACTCAGTTTACATGGGGCTGTCCTTGAAGACCAGCTAGAACTTCACCTGATCCAGAAAGCTGTGGTATGCATACTCAGTAGTCAACCAGAATATTGCCATATTATACAGCTGCTGCAGGAACTGCACTGTTTACCAGTAGGTTTCCAAGTACAATTTAAAATGCTAGTTACTCCCTATATGGCCCTATATAGCTTAGAGCCTGGATATCACAGAGGCTACCCTTCCCTACCCGAACAACGAGGGATTGCTTGCTTAGAGTTTTCTTCTCCCAGAAGGTATGGTGGGAGGGGACCCTACAGTGAGTATTTTTTGTAACAGCTTCCCTCCTCTGAAGCAGCTTACCCTCTGAAACAAGGATAGTCTCCATTCTCAGGGCCTTGCAGAAGCAGGTGAAAACTTGGTTCTTCCAGAAGGCCTATGGGGATTAATTACAAACCAATGGCACCACCATAAATGTTAAATTATATTTAGTTATTATTTTTGGTGTTTAAATTGTGAATTAGATTGTGGATTTTATTATCTGAATACTTTTTAAATACTGATTTTGTATTGTGTTTTATATTGTAAATTGTGTAAGCCACTTAGAGTCCATCCAGTTTCAGTAGGAGAGAAATCATATAAATAAACATATAAATAAATATAGATTTTACTATTTCCTCTTTTAGCAGATTTCCTTTCTTTCTGTTGATAGTTTTATGTACCTTTTCCAGTTAGCAATACATAGGACTTTCCCTAATTTCCACAATTTCAAGTAAAATTGTGACTCATTTTATGACATCATATTAATATGCCTGACAGGTTTGACACTCCCACTTTATGGCAATTATGCATCTCTCAACTTCTAGCAGTTCTGTTAAAAATGAAAGCGAATCCAATTTACAGTCAAGTAAGATTTCAATCATTCAGTGCCTTATTAAATCTAGTGAGTGAGATTTATTATGAGTCACTTCCATTAATATCTGACCAATTTTCACAAAATTGCTCTTCATTGTTATAAACATACTGTACAATCAGCAACTCTTAATGTTAATAAATATAGACAGTACCTGCTCTCCACTGCTAGGCTTAAATGATACTGTAACGGTCTGTGAGAATGCCCTTGAGAGAGAGGAGGAGGAAGAGGAGGAGCCGCAGACTGGGCAATGGGGAGATAAGAGGCAGCTTAGCCCGCAGAAGGAATGGGGGTGTGGCAAACATCTCAGAAGGGACCCTCTCTAGTTTCTTTGAGTGTAAAGGCAAGGGGTGAGAGATGTACTTTCAGACTTGGAAATTCTGTGACTGTAACCTTACAATAAAGGTAGTTTTGATGCTTCTTGTCTGGATTATCTTGAAGGGCTGACATCTCACCATTGCCTAGTCTGTGGCTCTTCCTCTTCCTGCCTCTCAAGGGCATTCTCACAGACCATTACAGATACTCTGTCTAAGGTAAGGCACAGGCCTGGAAATAGAGGTTTGTTCCTACTTAGAATATATGAATAAATTTGGGCATCATCATTTTCAGACATAATGAAGTTATGTCTCCTCATGCTATAATAAAACCTATCAGGAATATGTATATATTCTGGATGTGTCTTGAACCATTATTATTCATGTGTTAACTTCATTTATACTCAGCTACATGAACAGTTCATTACCTTTGCTCATTTATACAACATAGCAGCCTTCTCCAAGCTAAGGTACAGTAATCCTTGATAGCACCCATCAAGATGTGCAGGAATTGCAACTTCCAGAATTCCCTATCAATAGAATTTCTGGGAGTGGTCTCCAAGATACACAGTTTGTGAAAGGATGCAATCCATTATCAAGGACTAATACTTCACCTTGGTATTGTAATTTGCCAAAAATGTAAGCAACAAATAGATGGTGATAAATTTATCATAGGTAAAAGACAGTATCTGCCATGACTGGACTACGAGAAGGTCATTCAACACAAGTATTCTGAAATCACATTAAAACAAGGCCAAACCATCTGTGTGTTTCTTTATACACATTAAGGCTCTGGTACTTCCTTCTCATTTTTTTTCCAAGCTAGTTCCTTTTAACATTCTCATTGACCCATGGGTATTATTCATTAAGTAAAAGGGGCAATATTATGTTTAATTCCTAAGAATAATCTCTGGCACATAAGCTTTATTGGCCAAATTAATTCTGTCTTCAGAGCTGGTGGATGACTAATCTAGTGTGTTAAAGAACATGTACGTTTCCTAAATCATCTGCTTCCTATAATGCTTGCAGAAGAGTCATACAAATGCACTTTCTCTTCTAGGAGGTGACAGAAAATAGGGATTGTACTCTACTTCTCTGATACCTGAAATAACTGAATATGTATCTGAATAAGGAGCATACAGAAATCAAAATTACACTGCATGTTTTAACTGATCGGTATAGAATAACTGCCAAATCTAACTACTATTTTGCTTACAGTTACTATTTATAGGTAATTCTCACTACCTTTTACTACCTCTCCTTTTACAATTCCCCCCTTCTCTCTCCCATAAATAACAGTGGGAAATACAACGTGTACTGTATTTACAATACTCCTTTCTCAAGACTATACTCCAGGCATCCAGTGAAGTGAACTGTTACCCACAAAAGCTTTATAATGAAAGATAATGTGTTAGTCTTTAAGGTACACAAACATTGTTGCTCTTGGCACAAGAGGTTCATACATTTTCCCCCTTTGGAACAGGTTTCAGTTAGCAGCATGATGGTTTTTTTCAGCTCCCTCCCTCTATAACATTTTCGCTATCAGCAGTTCCTTCCAAACAATTAAAAAACAAAGGTGTTGTCACGTCACTACCGCTCTATCCACAGAAGATAAGAACTCACTGGCACTCTCGGATAAGCAAAGCAAGGGCATCAATTTCTGTATCTTAATGCACTTCACTATAAAATAGAAGATTCTTTGTCCAAGGGTAGAAGGGTGTCTTGAGAATGATTGTAGAGCTGCCTCTGGGGCACTCACCTGGGTTGGATTGTAGAGCTCTTGTAGCGGACTTCTTGATCCTTTTCGGCAGCAGATGTCCATCCCAAAGCTATTCCTACGTATTACTGGCAGAAAATAAACTGAAATTAGGGGACATTCTCAAAATGCTAACATAGTTTCAAAGCATACGTAGAAGAACTAAGTATTTTTAAAAATGACACTGGAGATATATATACATATATACACACAGATACATGTGGACCACCATATTAACCTAGTTGATTGCCTGTGCAGGCACTCCTGCCTAAGAAATAACTGGGGGGCGGGGGGAGCATACAAATGTTTGAAACAACCCAAAAAGTAATTAAATAAAACCATAACACAATAATATTAGCAAAGACCTAGCATTTTCAAAAAACCAGAGGGGAAGCTTAACAAATTTAATTTAGCTAAAGGGTGTGATATAAAACCTAGTATCCTGCACAAATGAAAATATTGTGTCTGGAGATAAAGAGACATCCATTTATGAGACAGGAGACCAGACAAAAAAGGATGTTCACCCTCTGGTGGTGCTTTTAGTCACCACCAAACTTCCATCCTTAAGGCCAGCCTGTCATTAGGAATACCAAGGTGTCATATGGTAGCGGGAAGCAAAGGAGGGGTTGCTATGTATATGCCTCTGTGCACCATAGTGACTTATCAATAGCTCTGTGATATATGCCTGGAAACAGAATCTAAGTAAATAACTTAAATAAATTGGGTCACATTTATTATCAAATTAAAATCTTTATGAAAACTACAGAGGCTCTGCAGAAGCAAGGTAGAACACCCACGTTTTGCCTTCAAACACTTTAAAAAAAATCTTAATTTCAATGGCAATATTTTTAAAAAGATAATTATTTTCTGAGAGAATGTGTGACTTTTCCTTCTTAGCAGAGAAAGGTACCACAGTTTGGTAGGCTCTTGAGTGGCTCCAATAAACAAGTAATTATGTACGTTTATTTATTTATCAAACGTGTACCTGCACACTCCCAGCAAAATCAAAGCACTTAATCAAACCTATATGTTTTCATTTCCCTTCACAGTTCAAATGAATGGATATTACGGTGTGCTATAATTTAAATTAACTGTTTAATCAAATAGTTAAATGGAGCAATTACTTAAAATTAGAACACATGAAAGGTAATAATCACTAATCTTCATCAGGCACAAATACACCAACTTGCAATGAAAATTTTCTTCTCCAGAGAACCACATTCTAGCTTCAGTTGGTACAAGATGCCACCTTTCCAAGTAGGTGTCAGTCATGTTGGTTTTGGTTGAGCAAAACTGCTTCCCTCAGATTTCTGCCTACTGCAAAATTTGTCCTGGAGTAGACCTTTTGAAGGTATCAAACTATGAGGTTTTCTACTGTTAGCAAAGACAATTACTACAGTGGTATTTACACATCACAGGAAGGTGGAAGCTTGGATGCTGAGAAATGTGTCTCTTAGCAACAGCAGTGTAGGACTGGGTGGTTTCTGACTATTATATAGTACAATGTTAGTAAAACTTTGCTTATTTTTCTAACAGTGGACCTCTAATAATGGCTTACTTCAACCTCCTAAAAACCTTCTTCTCCCCTTTGTCTAGATCAAGGTGAATTACCTAAATATCCCTACCCAATAATTGGTAGGGCTTCTATTGGAAAGACTGTGTCCCTCATCTTATATTGTAGCTTCTGTTGCAATATTTTCAGGAAAAAAATCCTGTTTTAAATGCTGAACTACAGATTCCAAGTACAGCAATAGATTGTGCAATGATTTTGAGGCCCATCACTTTACCTCCAGATGTTGTTGCTCCATGGAGATGAGAGTGAAACTCAGTGTTAAAAAAAAATAGAAGGCAATTCTGCATAAGCTAGAACTTCAAAACAGTGGGGGGGGGGTGTGATGTGAATGAAATTACATTTAAATATCATACTACTTTAAAGAAAGATACTTCTAATGGGATTCCCCTGAGGAATTCAGAGCTATAGAGTAGAGGTGCACCATGAAGGAAATATGTGGAAAACATGAACTTAGCCTGGGAAAACAGGAAGGCAGGAAAGAAATTCAGAAGTGCCCCACATTGATTCTCTTTGGTAGAAGAGGGAGGGAAGGAGAAATGCTATCAGCCTACATCAATAAAATAAGCCATATTACTTCTTGTGGTACTTGTTTCCTGACCTGGTCTACCTTAAAGGGCTAATGCAGTGTTTCTCAACCTTGGCAACCTGAAGAAGTGTGGACTTCAACTCCCAGAATTCCGCAGGCAGAATATAGCTACATTTCAGTTCCAGCACTCTGAGAAGTTCCATATCGGCACCAACAAGAACAGTCTTGAGTACATTGCTTGGACTCAATAGTGCTAGTTGCCTTAGGCAACGAACTCACCTAAGACTTCCCATTCTAAGACTTGTTTTTTCCTATCCTTCTCTCCCACCCCCACCCCACTGCACCCCACCGCACATTTATCCACCTACAAAGGTCTAGACTCTTCCAAAATTCTCAAAACCCAAGGGACATCTGCAGCCTTACACAACAAGGTGCCTTCCAGGCATTTTGTACTACAGCTCCCATATTAACCAGCTAGTACTGCTGAAAAATACAGCAAAGGGTCAACACAGCTTTCCACCTTATGAAGTCAAGTGAGCAGATAGGAACATTTATGCAGGGAGTTTGTCAAAAGTGTTTGGCAGATCAGACAAAAGGAGAATGGCATTAAAATACCTCTTGTTAAAGGGCAGAACTGAATCTTCTACCAAAAGATAGGAATAATTGACTGACCTTTAAAATGCATCATACTTGTATTCTTTTTGTGTTTTCACTGAAATACTAATGCTCCTATTTTTGAGAATTCAGTTTAAATAGCCAGACCACAACTATTGGCTCCTTTCTTTTTCTGGTAATATTTTATGGTATTTACATTGTTGATATTGTCAAAATTATTGTTTACATCATTAAAATATACAGATATTGGGAAGTTGTTTGATGAACTGTATCTCATCTTTTCTACAATATTTTAATAGTTAACTTTTCACTATATTGCTACAAATATCAATGACATCAATTGATGTAGTTTCTGGATTGACATCATAATACAAATTTCTGTAAGCTGCCTCAGTTCTGGCTGGTTTTAGGCAGATAAATAAAATGACATAAATGTACAGAAGTGACCTAAATTGGTAGAAATGACATAATCATGAATTATGTAAAATTAACATATATTTAATTCATGTGCACAACTTTGGATGGAATCAATTTGTTTATTATTTGGGGGATATATTTGGACATAATTTTGGTCCACTGCATCTACTGTGAATAGCGGCCTATTAAATCAAGGCTTCATTACTGCAGATTTATGACTGATTTCAGTGAAGGTAACTTTTCCTGGTAGTGATGGATCCAAAGCCTGGTCAAGCTAAAGATGGTTAGTCTTTTAAAAGAACTGGAAACACTTCAACAGGCTTGGCTTTGCTTGCCAAACCTTTTATCCCAGTGGGTCTTTAGTCAAATTTTGCAAGTTTCTGAAACAATATGAAAACCTACAAAAACATAGTTTTGCAGCACAAGTGTGGTGATAGTGTACATATTAAGCAGAAGCCTCTCTTTCAGAGCACATTCAACCCTATCATCTTTCTTCAGCCCAGCAGCCATAAAAACATTTGCCAGTTAAAGGCAACATCCCTAGCTTTGGGGAAGGCTGGAGGACTGCAGGTGTTTTACAGTTCTCATTTCCATTGCTCCAATATCTTAGAAGTGGAAATCTGATCTTCCAAAATCTGATTGGTGCAATTTTCCATGATCTACTTCCCTACAAATTTTATTGCATGACAATACCTGTGCACTCCAGTCAATATGTGGGTCAATGTCTTGGAGTGGATTAATGTTTTGGAGTAGATCACTGTTTTGGAGTACAGGTAATTTGTCTTTGATTTAACATGAGCTGTGAATCCACCCATTATGATTTAGTGGTATGTGATTTAAAAATCCTGAGTTAGTAGTGTGTGTAAATGCAACCAATGTGTATAAATCTAATTCTGCAGTAGCACAGTTACTGTAAGATACAATTCATATTGAACCAGGGATTCTAAACTAGAATCCAAATGGCTTACTTTCTGCAGTACGATGCATCTTGATGTTGGCTTGTCCTCTGCAGTACTATAACATCACAATGACAGATGGCTGGGGAATGCTATGCAACTATAATTTTGAATGGAACCAGAAGACACAGGAGACCAATATTGTTTCACCTGCTGACTCTCATTTGAACAATTTATCCTTCAAATACAAATTTAATTTCTTGGACTGCCCCCTCCCTTGACTTCCTGGTTCCCTCCCAACTACCTTCTCACGCACAACGCAATATAATTTTCCCATATGATTCATTTAGCCGAACTATTCTGTGACTAGGCAGACTTTGAGATCTGTTAAAGTCCTAGACATTAGTCTCTATTTATTCTCTGTCTGGAGTATTCATGTTAGGAATTTATTACAAAATATATGTCTAGTGGGTTTCATTTTTAAAAATTAAATCAGTTCTGCTGTTGATTTTGAAAGATCAAAAATAAAATATAAAATTTACTTCTTACTGCTCACTAAAATCATTTTAATTGCCTTGAAGAATATGAATATGTGTTTGCCCATTTAAACAGTATGTATCTTGTTCTGAATGGATAGATGAACACAGAAATTCTGTTGGTATACCTAGCAGTTTCCTGACTGAACTGACATAGATGGTTACAGAGGTGATCTTGCAGACTCTTAAGATTTTGATCTTGAGTGATTTCTACATTCATGTTAAGTATAGTTTGATAGGTGCAGCTCAGGAACTCTTAGCCTCCATGGACTTCACTCAGATTTTTTGGGAACCTACCTATGAGATACCTCTTCAGCCTGGAAGAGAGAGGCTGGCACACAGAGGTTCTGGATGGAACCTATCTCTCTCCATGGACTGACCACTAGACATTTGGACAAGTCCTACATGTTGTTCTGTTCCAGATCCTGTGTTTTAGACTGTTCAGAGAATTTTTTTTTAACCTGGGTGACTGCTCTATCAGCAACTTAATAAGAGCTGTAAAATAACAAAATATCTTAGGTGCTTG